CTTCATAATGGGGCAGTTGTGATAGAGTTAAGTCTATTATAGCAAAATTCTGTTGCTATTCTATCAGCCATCTTGGAAGTGGCATTTTTTCAAGATGTCTCTAAAGTGCTCAAAATATCCATGATATTAATGTAAATTCCCTCTCCATAGACAGGATTCAGTATCAGTGTCAGTATCTGATCAACATATATAGAGCAGAAAAAAAATGCTGAAAGATTTGAATCAATCTTAGCCATCACCTTAGTTTAGTTGAAGAAAAACTATTCACAACTATAAATATCTTATCATTTTTATGTTACTATAAACATCTCTCAATGACATTAACCATCATTTACCAGTGTTCTAGTATTCATCTAAACCCTAGATATAGTTCTTCCTCAGATAGGTCTCTACCCTTCTCACTTCCCACTCTCTACATTTTGGAATTTAATCCATGTTTTTTCTTTCCTTTTTTTAATATCTTTATTTTTCCATTCAAATATTTACACTTCCTTCCCTCCTCCCAATCCCCTCCCACTTCTCCACATCCCCTCCTCCCTCTCCCACCCTGCTTGAGAGAGGGCAGGGAACTCCGCCCTGTGGGAAGTCCAAGGCCCTCCCCACTACATCCAGGCCAAGGGAGCTGCTTCCCTTCCCCCAACCTCACCTCCACCCCTGCCCCCTCCCCCATTCTCACAAATTTGCCCAGCAATCTTGTTTGCTTCCAATTTCTAGGAGGATCCAAATATTTTTTTTCTTGGGGTTCACCTTGTTATTTCTCTGGACTTGCGAACTATAGGCTTGATGACCTTGGTTTATGGCTAGAATCCACAAATGAGTGCGTACATACCATATTCATCTTTTGGGGTCTGGGTAATGTCACTCAGGATAGTGTTTTTTTATTTCCATCCATTTGCATGCAAAATTCAAGATGTCATTGTTTTTTACTGCTGAGTAGTACTCTAATGCGTATATATTCCACACTTTCTTTATCCATTCTTCCATTGAGGGGCATCTAGGTTGTTTCCAGGTTCTAGCTATTACAAGTAATGCTGCTATGAACATAGCTGATCAAATGCTTTTGTAGTACGATTGGGCATCTCTTGGGTATATTCCCAAGAGCACTATTGGGAAGGGAGACGGGAAGGACGTTCAAGAGCTTGGGGGAGTGGGAGGGTGGAGATGGAGGAAGGGCAGATATAGGAGCAGGAAAGAAGATACCTACATTAAGGGATCCATTTTAGGGTTGGCAATAGACTTGGCTCTAGAGGGGATCCCAGGTTTCCATGGGGATGTCCCCAGCTAGGTCCTTGGACAGCAGAGCAGAGGGTGCCTGAATTGTCCTTGCCCCACTAACACACTTATGATTATCTCGAATATCACCATAGAATCTTCGTCTAGCAATGGATGGAGATAGAGACAGAGACCCTCATCAGAGCAACGAACTGAGCTCCCAAGGTCCAGTAGAAAGGCAGAAGGAGGGAGAAGACAAGCAAGAAAGTCTGGACCACAAGGGGTTGGCCCACCAACTGAGGCAGTGTGCCTGTTCTAATGGGAGCTCACCAAATCCAGCTGGACCGGGTCTGAATGAGCATGTGACCTAACCTGTGCTTTAATTAAATCTTTAACCACTTGGCCAAAATGACTGGAATTGGAATGAAGGGAATTATTCCCTTTGTGGATATTTCTCTCTACATTACTCTTTTTGTACTTTTCGGTACCCCTCCACTTACTCCATTGCCCTTTTTAATCTAGAACAAGCTGAACTCCTTGGACACATGTGACACTTGTCCCTTTATGTGACACTTCACATGTGTCCCACATGTGACACTTCTTCCCTTTATGTCATTTTCTTTTTTTCCTTGAAAGTTTCTATATAGTGTTTCAGACCCTATAACTCACCTGAAACTTATTTTTCTATTTTTTCAGAACCACGTTCTTCTTCTGACTTCTCCTAGCTACCCTATGTCACTACCCTGTATAATTATTAATGATTTTTCTGGAGACCCTGTGTCTTAGTTTTTGTTTCAATTCTGTTAAGAGATGTCATAACCAATGCAACTCTTAGAACAAAAACACTCTTTGAACAAAATCATTTAATTAGGGGATAACTCTATGATGATCATAGCAGAGAGCATACAAGCAGTTAGGGGTGGGTCTTGGAAGTAGTTGAGACCTAAATGCCCATCTATAAGAAAAAGATAGCTTTGGCTGGGCATGGACATTTTTTTTTATTTTTTTTGAAAGTAATTTTATTAAATTATAAAAAGTTTCCATTTACGCCCCTCCTCCCAACGCCCTCCCACTCCCCCCCTCCCTCTCCTCCTCCCTCTGTGTCCCCAAGGGCAGTCAGGGTCTCCTGCCCTGTGGGAAGTCCAAGTTCCTCCCCCCTCCCTCCAGGTCCAGGAAGGTGAGCATCCAAACAGACTGGATCCCAAAAATCCAGTATATGCAGAAGAAACCAGTCCCAGTGTCATTGTCAATGGCTTCTCAGAAAGACTGCAGGCCAGCCACATTCAGAAAATCCGGCCACATTCAGAGAATCTGGTTGGATCACTTGCTCGTTCAGTCACGGTCCATCTGGCCTTGGTAAACTCTCATTAGATCCAACCCCTTGTATCAGTGGGTGATAGTATCCCTCGCAGTCCTTCGTCATTTTCTTCCTCCTTCTGCTCCTCATTTGGATCTTGGGGGGGCTCAGTTCGGTGCTCCAACGCGGGCCTCCATCTGTATCGCCATCCAACGCCAGATGAAGGATCTATGGTGATAAGCAAAATATTCATCAGTATGGTCACGGGCCAAGGCCGGTTCAGGCACCCCCTCCTCTGTCCAGAGAACAATCTGGGGATCTCTCCTTGGACCTGGGATCCCATATATAATCAAGTTTCCTGTAAACTCTAAAATGACTCCCTTAGTTGAAATATATTCTTCCCTGATCCCACATTCATCCTTCCTCCCTTCCCCCCATCTCGGTCAACCGAGCTTTCTCCATTCCTCCCCTACTCCCTTCTCTCTAACCCTCTCCCCTTCCAACAACCCTCCCACCCCCCCACCCCCCATGCACCCAAGGTTACCTGGGACTCTTGACTATTTCCTACCTCCTGGCGGATAGCTAAATAATCTTCATCAGGTTCGTCTTCTTATTTAGCTTCTCTAGGATCACGAATAATAGGCTCAAGATAAAACCAACTCCAGTGAAACATTTTCTCCAACAATACCATGACTCCTGATCCTTTTAATTCTTCCAATTATAACCACTCCTTGATGAATAAGCACTCAAGTATATGAGTCTATGGGAGTCATTCTTATTCAAACTGCCATACTCTATGAATAGAAATTTTATACAAAGCAAATCCAGGTTAAGACGATAGAGAAAAAATGGAATTGTTGTTTTCAACAAGCTACCAGTGAGCTAGAAAAATTTCTCTGGAGATACACTTTGAGAGTCTTTAAGATCATCCCCAGTCTCCTAAAAGCTGATAGGTTGTATCTCTAGCTGAAGGAGGTACCTTTCAATGGCATCTCAGAGAAGAGTTGTTGGGGGATGGGTGATAGCAGAGCACAGCTAACTACTGAATGTGGCTTTCATTGGTTGCTCAGCTGAATAAGATTTCTGGATCTCTGACCAGGACCTAAACCTGGGTCCTGGGAGCATAAGCCAGTACACATCACTCAGACCATAATCCAGTCATATAGGAAATGTGATCAGTTACTGGTGATTATCTCCTTCTGAATGGAACATTATAGACATAATTGATGCTTACAGAACATGTATTTTGATATATTATTATCATCTTTCTGTTTTGTTACTAACTGGACTAATCTCTCACATGTCTAGGTTATATAATGTCTTTAGGTACTAAGTGTAAATAGCAAAAATCATAGTATATACAAGGTTCTATTACACTCTTGGCTTTGCTCATATATCGAGATTTTTGAGTATGTTTCTCTTATAAGATGAGGGTCTACTAAATATCTCTACACTGTAAGACAATCATTACTTCCATCCATTTGAGGTAATATTGATAAATTTTATCTTTGGCTTCTTTTTTAAAAATAGATATTTTCTTATCACTTAGAAGAGATTCTATTTAAAAGTATGTTCTACACATAGTCTGTATTCAATACTGAATATCTTTATTTTACCATTTCACTTTTAAATCCTTGAAATGTTATAGTTTATCAGGATTTTATTTCAAAAACCAAACTTTTTCGCTTGTCAGTGTAACAACTGCATCTATAATTAAAATCTTCAGCACTGTGATATAAATTAACTGATTCTCTCAAGAAGACATTCACTCTAATGACATACAGTGACTATAACCTAGAGATAATTATATCCTAGTATCTAGAAGACAGAGGATTTATTGGACCATATTTCTTGGATTACTGTTGTAATTATTTTCAGACTGGTTGAATATTTGATAGCATTTTATTGAATTTTAACACACCTTGACTGGAAGCATAATGGTCTTAAAAGAGAAACAGAGGTGTTGATTATTTGTGGAAAAGCTCACAGCAAAAGCACTCTGGCGAATACTGGTCCATTCCACCATCATTTTTCATCCTAGAGCTGCGAAGTATGCAAAGTAGATGTATACTGTTAAGGTTATCTTTCATTGGAGTCCCTTAAGAAAATAATCTTATAAAGGTAATGTCTAGGAAAACTCTCATAACCCTTGCCTTAAGTAGATATCAACTTTATTTTCTTTAGTATTAAAACTATTTTGTCCTTAACTCCAAAGATTGACATAGATATTCTCTTCCAACTATCTTGCTTACACAAATACTATGAAGTAAAGATACAGGACAATCTACATATAAGTAATAACATGCATGATAGAGTCACTTAAAATTTATTGGTATCAGTTTTACCATTCACTAAACATCATTGTGTTTGCTTTTGACAAAGGTCTCTAATGTATATACAACTCCACCACTCACTTTCTGGACATTCACATTGAGTGACAATACAAAAAAGCTATCAAATCTTTATACATATGATAAAATTATGAGATATTTCAATTCCTCATGCAGAAAAAGGGAAAATCAAATACAGTGATAGAATTATGACTCATAATAAAAGGGCCTAATGTGGGAAAGCACATAGAAATGATGGCTATAATATTCATTAGCCAGCCTTCACTATCATATACAAAAGCATTCCAACCTTGTAAGATGGAGGAGAGGGTATACAAACCTAGAAAGGTGAAGACCTGGACTAGGATGCTCTGGGTGGCTCTAGACTCAGGGGATACACTGAAAGAAACATGAGTGCTATGGATATGTTGAACCCTTTGCTTGTGCCTGTATAAAATGACAACCATAAATCCACCAGACCAGGCAACTATCACAGAGAACAAAACTTCAGGGAATACACAGAAAACTGTATACAATGAGCCTGTGACTTCATCATAACCTACATTGAGGCAATATGCTGAATCTCTTTTGTATGTCATGTTTTTATTGTTCCCTTTGATATACAGATACACAGGGAAAATCATATTTATTACCGTGTACAGGACCCAGCAGAGGGTAATATAGAGTCCAATGTACTTTGTAGTTTTGACTTTCAGAAGCATACAACAGGAGTCACTGGGACTGATGGTGATGGCCTGAAATACACTCAAGAGACAGGTGGAGCTGATGGACATGTTTCTGCCAAGTCTTTGACTATACAAAAGAACATTACAACCAAAATCACTGATGAGCCATTGCATCCCAAAAGAGTGTATTGTCATTAGCACACCTTTAGAAACAATAAGCAATGAGTTTCTGTGAACAGGTATGTGAAAATCAAATCTTTGGTCTTTAACTTCTGTTTAATGAAGTAAAGGATAAGATAGTAGCAAAGAAGATAAAAATTTCCCAGAATTCCAATTGTGCTCTGAAATAAGAACACTATTCCTATTATCAAATCCTTGACATCCATTCTGTCATTTAGTACATTTTAACTATATAAATTATTGCAATAATCTCCTGGTTAAACAAAATTATGAATTGAAATTTCTATAGGGTGTACCTGAATTACTTTTGCTCGAGACTGCAAAACCAGTATGTACAGCACACCAAGTCATTTCCTCAAATGCAATTTATTTTGGCAATAGCTCTTCAGAGGACTGTACACACTCAATAAGGAATAAAAAGGATAATAATGCCAGTGCTTTCATTGGATCTAATATCTGGATCATGATGCCATAGAAGAAATGTAAAGTAGGAAACAGCAGCTATTTATAACCATTGACATAAGCAGGCATTTTGCAGAATGGAAACGGTGATCACATTGTAGTCAATATTTTGGAATCTGAAAATCTGTTCATTACTGAGGAGAATATAAATTTACATTTCAATCTATAACTTTGCTTTCAAAGTTCAAAATCCATTCATAAAATTTAGTATCTAACTTTAGATTTCCCCACACTTCTTTTAGAGTGCATAGTCTTAGCTGTCCTCTGCATCAGCATAACATAAAAGATAAAGTAATTCACAAAATCTATATGCAGTGGAATAGAAATTAAATAGGAAAAAATAGGTGATTTTACATTGTAAGACCAATTACACAGAGCACAACCCAAGTCAGCAGTTATCCAGTCTCTAAATAAGCCAACATCAATAGGAACTAATTTTCCAACAATCTCACCTCACCCAGTAATACAGCAGAACACTATTATCAGTGACATGGTTTTGAATTGTACAGGATAAATGACAATTTCACTTTTCTATTTTTTAATAGAGGACATTAATAATGGTCTCCCTCTGTAATGTATACTGACCTGGAATTCAGTAAATATCTAAATAAGCCTCTAGATTCTTGACTTTGTCATACACCATTAGTTTTTTTTCTTGATCCTTCCAATGAGCAGGCAATCAATATGTTCTATGTGTTTTTTTATTACTACTGTTTTTTTGTTCTTAGACTATCACCTATCGCAAAAATGTAATGGAAATTGATGGAAAGATTGTTGAGTTCTGATTGGTATGAAGTTAGAGTCTCTACAGGACAAATTTCACATACACAAGCACAGATCATGACACAACCATGAAAGATCCATGGATATACCTGTGATGCAAATTATGAGTTCATTATGATGCTTATTAGAATGCCATCCAGAGGCTTTGTTATATTTATTTTGTTGGGAGAGCAAAGGCCCTTGTACCCACAGATCTCTAGGGAAGCCAGGAATGCTAAATATACAAGACTGCCTTTTTAATAGGAAAGATAAAAAAATCTGTCTTTCCATCTAGAAATCTGAGAATTGGAGGTGATGGTGGTGCACACCTTTAACCCCAGCACTCTGGAGGCAGAGGCAGGAGGATTTCTGTGAGTTCAAGGCCAGTCTGGTCTACAAGAACTAGTTCCAGGACAGGCTCCAAAGCTACAAAGAAACCCTGTCTCAAAAAACATAACCTGGTGATCTACATTATCTGCTGGATAATGTAGTCTCTCACAATCAGTCTCTCACAATCAAGATCAGAGATGCCTAATAGCCTAAATGACATTAATATTGTATAGCTAGAGGTTTCCATAAGCTCCCACAACAAGAATAAGAGGTAGCTAATAGCCCTTTGACCTCTATGTTATCAGTATGACTGACTCAAGGTCAGTTCCTTCCTAAAATCCTTAAGCAAAAATAGGTAGCATGTCTACAGAAACCATCTTTTTGGAAGAATTCCATGAAGACTTAGTTGAGTCTCAATCCAATTGTGTTTCCTTATGCAGCAGGAATTGTATAACATCAGGAACATTTTTCCCATTTCATATTGTGTTGAAATAAACTGGAAATAAACTGCCTGATATCAGACATCCAAAGGTTTGATTCAGAATGACGTAAGTCACTCTTAATTGAGATTTTATTCTCACCTCCTTGCATATTGCTGCAGGTTTTAACACCTGAAGACACTCCTTCACTATTGATGCTTTATTAAACTTTGTAATATTTGATAATGAAACCAACAAGGAAGGAAATTTATCAAAGTACAGAGTTGTACTAAGGACAATTAAAACTCACTGTGGTTGTGAACTTTTTAAGTTTACCTACCTGGGAGACTTGGCTGGACACACTGACACGAGGCTAATGCATACCTGTGAGGACAGAAAAAATGTTCACCATCACAGAAAAGTACTCCAACATATGAGCAGTCAAGTGCTGGAGTCATTTCGAAATTAATGGAGAAGTGAAAAGAATCCTCCATTTGAGAGTCTGGTAGAAGGACTGCAACTATTATTCAGTATAGAGAAGGAAGAGACAATGGGAAGGGAGAGAACTGTCTGGATCCCCACCGACACTATAAAATGTGTGGACCATCCCTGGTCATAATATCTTTCTGTTTCCGTGCATAAAACTTGCTTACAGAGACATGGGACTATTTACAGGAATGTACAGTGTGCTCACATTTATCATACAACTGAAAACATGTTCTCACTCATAAGTACTTAGTAAATATTTCATTGAGTTCAAAGATTTACTGGAGTTAAATTGAAAACTGTCAATAGAGTTGCATTTAGAAATTACTGCATAAACCTGTTCATTTGGCAACATGTTTCAGATAGACAGTGGAATTGTCTTCACTGCTGAGATAAGGCTTAAGGAAAAGCTTGTGAAATAATTCTCCAGGTTCTTTAAGGATTGTGGCAGTGAGACCAGAGGAGATAAACAACTCTGAGATACCTTCTTACACCTGTCAGGATGGCCAAAATCAAAAACACCAATGATAACCTATGCTGGAGAGGATGTAGAGTAAAGGGAACACTCATCCATTGTTGGTGGGGATGGAAACTTACGCAACCTCTTTGGAAATCAGTGTGGCGCTTTCTCAGGAAAATGGGACTCAACCTACCACAGGATCCAGCAATTCCACTCTTGGAAATATACCCAAGAGATGCCCTATCATACTACAAAAGCATTTGCTCAACTATGTTCATAGCAGCACTTTTTTTAATAGCCAGAACCTGGAAACAACCTAGGTGCCCCTCAGTAGAAGAGTGAATAAAGTGAATAAAGAAGGTGTGGCACATATATACTTTCGAGTTCTACTCAGCGGTTAAAAAAAAAAAAATCTTGAATTTTGCATGCAAATGGATGGAAATAGAAAACACTTTACTGAGCAAGATATCCCAGACCCAAAAAGAGGAATATGGTATGTACTCACTCATAAGTGGATTCTAGCCATAAACAAAGGTCATTGAGCCTATAATTCATGATCCTAGAGAAGCTAAATAATAAGGTGAACCCCCCCAAAAACATATATTTATCCTCCTGGATATTGGATGTAAACAAGATCTCCGGGCAAAAGTTGGGAGCACAGGGATAGGGGTGGGTTGGGGAGAAAGGGAGATGGGGAGAGAGAAGGGAGATGAGGAGATTGGGGAGAGCTTGGGAAATGGAATGGTTGAGATGGAGGAAGGGTGGATATGGGAGCAGGGAAGAAGATATCTTAACTAAGGGAGCCACTTTAGGGTTGGCAAGAAACTTGGCCTCAGAGGGATTCCCAGGTGTCCAAAGGGATTTCCCCAGCTTGTTCCTTGGACAGCAGAGGAGAGGGTGCCTGAACTGGCCTTATCTCATAGCCATAGAACCTTCATCTGGCGATGGATGGAGATAGAGACAGAGACCCACACTGGAGCACTGAACTGAGCTTTCGAGGCCCAGATGTAGAGCAGAAGGAGGGAGAACGTGAGCAAGGAAGTCAGGATCGAGAGGGCTGCGTCCACCCACAGAGACGGTGGGACTGATATAATGGGGGCTCACCAAGGCCAGCTGGACTGGGACTGAACGAGTATGTGATCAAACCAGACTCTCTGAATGTGGCTGACAATGAGGGCAGACTGAGAAGCCAATGATAATGACACTGAGTTTTGATTCTACTGCATGTACTGTGTTTTTGGGAGCCTAGTCTGTTTGGATGCTCACCTTCCTAGACTTGGATGGAGGGGGGACTTCCCACAGGGCAGGGCACCCTGGCTTCTCTTAGGACTGGATAGGGAGGGAAAGGGGGAGGAAAGGAATGGGAGACCTGAAGGATGGCAGGAGGTAGAAATTTTTAATAAATAAAAGAGAAAATGAATAGTAAATAGTAACTGCCTTAGTCACTCTTCTATTGCTGTGAAAAGACACCATGGCCAAGGCAAGTCTTATAAAAGAAAGAATTTAATTGGGGCTTGCTTAAAATTTCAGAGAATTAGTCACCATGCTGGTATGCAGCCAGACATGGTGCAGAAGAAATAGCTGAGAGTTCTGTATCCTGTTTCCCACAGACAGCCAGAATTGAGCCATTGGGCCTGACTTGGGCTTTTGAAAACTCAAAGCCCACTTACAGTGAAAAACTTTCTCTAACTGGGTCACATCTCCCAATTCATTTCATTGACATCTCCCAGTGTCATTTCTTGCTCACTAAACAATCAAATATATGAATCTTTGGGGGACATTCTTATTTGAACAACCACAGTAAGTCTATATATTTGCATTAAAGTCTATTTTTAAAGGTTAAAAAAAGAAATTTGGACATTTGTGTTCTGCTTATATGTTCACATAAGTTTGGGCAGCATAGTGCTATGACAGTCACAATTTCAAGCACACAATTCATGTTCAGCTTCTTTTCATAACTGGCAATTGTATGTAAAGATTCTGGCATTATGTTAAAATGCCATGCTCAAATTATAGTCCAGTCAATCATAAACTGCCTGTCATCAATTTGTAATTATGAGGTAAGGACAGACTCAATACTCATTTTGAAATCAACTGTATGTCTGAAGGACCACACCTTACTATCTATCAAACAAAATATTGAACTATATTACCTTTATTCTCACTTCTTGTGCAGAAAATGATATTCAATATAACAGTGTGGCATAAAAAATTACCAGGTTAAAGAAATAACTCTTGTACTGATGACTTTGCATTATACAAGTGAAGCTTTAGTTCCACCTGCACA